TTTTCCTTAGAAACTTAAGATTCTGTCAGAACATATTTAGGTGTTTTATTAACTTCCCTAGAATATGGAAAGTCCTTTTAATCTGCATTTTTGGGTCTTTTTTCCCCATGTCGACGGCTCTTTCTCTGTGTCTGAGGTGTTTGCTTCTCTTCCCATCACTCTGGTTTCTCCTTAAGAAGCACTTTCATTCCCAGGTGTGCAGACAGTCTACCTTCCTCCACTTCACCTCTGTGACACCTTCCTCTGCCTTCTGGGAGAGACTCCCAAAATCTCCTCAATTTCTCTGAATCAAATTTCTCTAATTTTCCATTTTCATTTCTTTACGGTCCCCTTATCTCACCTCTTTCACCTCATCCTGTATTTTTAGGGTTCTTTTCTTCTCCTATGTTCCCAGCATAATTTCCCTTCCCTATGTCTGCACTGTTTGCATGACCTTCCTAGTTCTCTGCCTCAGAAAGGACAGACCCACCCACACCTGGTATTTGGCAACAGACAGGACATGAGAGTTACCTTTTACTCCACTCTCTCAACTTTTGGGTGCTGGTTGAACCTTTCTCAGATGAAATCAGGGCAACACATCGTATAACCCATGTCCATCTGGTGTGCCTCTGCTGGGCGGAGTTGAGATTTTTTTCTGCCATCTTTAGAACTTTCTTTTTGACCTGCTAAGTCAATTGGTGTGCCTGATGATCTTTGGTAACCCATCTTCTGTGGACCATGTAGTAAAGGTTTGGCTTCCTAACTCTCCAGCTAGTGCAAGCCCAGCATTTCGGAGGAAGGATAGGACAATGGGGGCGTGACAAACATTTTCCTCCTGCTCTCTTGTGGCTTGTTTCATATGGCTGAGAAAACTCGAGCAGCCCATTGTTTGGTTTCGCCTGCTTCCATCTATGTGACAGTTGGAGATTTTCAGCATTTGTTTTTAGTGGTGTTGTGACTTTTCATCTTTTTTGTGTGTTTATAGGCATGTTATCACAAAGTTGGTAAAGGCTACCTCAGATTTGCTCCCTAGACACCACTGTGTGCTGGAAATCTCTCTTTATGTTTGTGGAGTCCACGCTTGATGTGGCCATATGTCTGTGCCATATGTGACAACCCGACAATCACCCCCGTAAATAGTCAGCAATAACTTGACACGGGCACCGCTTCAGTCCTTGACTCCAACCATACAATCAGAGTCTACTCCATTTCTCCTGCATGTAACCATTAAGCTAACAGCTTTGGAATTAGGAAAAATGGAAAATACATTCGGAACTAGGGAAACTTTTCTTATTCTTCTTAGAGATTTCTGCTTAGGGAAAGGTTCATTAAGTGGGCAAATGTTTTATTTTCCTTTCCATTAGCATGTGGTGTGACTATAAAACCTTATGTAGCAAAAGAATGTCATTCCATCCAAAGCGTCACCTCTCTCTGAGGCTTCATATCTCATCACCAAATGCTGCTGGGACTCCTTTAAAACCGCCCCATTCTTGGCAATGCTTTATCTTCGCAAGTTGACTTGATTTTTTTAAATAACCAAAACATATTTGGCACCAAGCCTAGTCGTTGATGCAATTCATGGAGTTGGGAGATATTATTGGAGGCAAGATGTTGCTGTGTGGGTAAGGAGACCAATGTAAGGTTCAAAAGATGACTCAGGTGAAAGGTTCGAGAGTGTTCTGATGAATCAGAGCGTGACTGGAAGATGCGTGTAAACCCCAATGGTGAAGGAGCACCACTTGCTTACGTGGAGGTGTATTGTGTAATCTTAATAGAGTCCTGAACAATTTTTATTATTTCAAGAGTTTTAAAAAACATTTCTCGCTATATTTCATCACCATAAAATCTCTAATGGTGGTATCAGTTCTTTTTGAATTTCTTATCAGACGTGAAGGAACTGAGTATTCAAGTTCCATATAAAATGAGCTGTAGAACCAGAGCTCTCATAGACCTCTGAGGGAAGCTGCATCCTGCGCCTTCATCCAGGGTGGTGTTCCACACCCTAGCAAGGGTCCACAGAGCTGGGCAAAGCGGGTCCACCTTCAGCTGCCCTAATGTGTAGTACGATTATTTTTTTCCCTGTACAACATACCTCATATTACGAATTAGGACCTTAAAAAAAGGAGAGAGCGCGATTGTAGCTCTCACTATGACTGGGCACGTGGCTGCACTTCAGAAACTAACACACCTCTCTAGAGTGTGCTCTTGACTCCCTCTAGCCCCATGGACCAGGCTTGCCATTGCACTTCCATGTTTTGTGGCCAAGGACTTTAAACATGAACAATAAAATGGTTCTCTTGGCCACGCTCTCGCCGTTGATGCCACAGACCCCACCCCCACACTATCCAACAGTACATGGCTCAGTGATGTTTCTTCTAGGATTGATTCCAAAGATCTCACTAAGGAGTTTATTACCAAAAAGGGAAAGTTGGTGTTCATCTATGTATTTCCAGTTATAATGTTTCTCATACCAAATTGGAAAACAGGAAAGATCAGAACAGTGTGTAGTCTTGACAAACAGTCTCCCCCTCTTTGACCCAACTTTAGCCAGGCTCCTCTAAACCCTCTTCCCAACGAGGCCTCGCTGTTTGGGCTTCTGTGTGCATCTTTGCGTCATGCAATTGTAGCAAGAATCCCATCAAGTCCGTTTAGCCAGGATCCCCCACCTCGACATCTGATCCCCTTTATCCACCCCACGACCCCCAGGTGACTTCTGATCACTGGCCTGCCTTCAGCAGGAATCCTGTCGGGCAGTTTACCCAGAACCCTCCTCACCTCTGACATCTCCTCTCAGTAATTTTCCGTCCACTGACCCCACCTGCTCCTTGAGTGTAAATTCCCACTTTTGTATTCAGAGTTGAACCTGATCTCTCTCCCACTGCAAAACCCCATTGCAGTGGTCCCCACACCTACAGCGATGGTCCCGAATAAAGCCTGCCTTACCATTTTCACAAGGATCAGAGTAATTTTTTCATTCATAACCAGTCTGTACGAAGATTGTGCAAAAGAACAAGATGAGAACTAGAAAGAGGCATAAGATGAATGAATCTTTCCAGCAAATGGAAACAAGAATGGGGTCCTCCCTAATTGGCATGGAAGCCATGGAAAAAATAGTCATTCCAGGAGATCAGAGTTTTTGTCCTTGATTTCATCCAGATGAAATACATTTGCTGATAGAGTAAGTGCAGCTTCTCAGTGTGCCTTCATACACCACACCCTTGACATAAACGTCTGCATCAGACAGGTCCCCTCGTCCAAAAAGACGGGAGTTAGCTCGTGTCCGTCCCCATGGCCCTTCCAGCTACTAATCTCTCTTCAATGTCTGTCCAAGAGGGACCCAAACACCAGTTATGACAAAATTCAGAAATAAAATGTATTCCATGTGAAGCAAGGTCTGCACGCAGACCTCGAGTGATTTTTTAAGGACCAAAGCTAAATAAGTATTTCTATGCCTACAAATATTCAGGGAGCTGACCAAATCCCATGTTATAAATGCAGCTGCAAGCCTCAGGCAGTGAAGCGGACAGCAAAGCGGGATCCGCAGAGGACGCGGCTAAGAAACCGTGTTACCTTTCTGGGTAGGAGCAATGAGAGGATGGGTGGGAGAGCAGATCCTGTCAACACACAGACCCAGGTCCCCAGGGCTACGCGGGCTTGCTGAGCAGATGGTATGAGCAGAAACAGCAGTGTTCCAGAAATCCCAGAAACCGAGAGGGTTGAAAATCATAAAAGTTGGATTCTGCGTGAGTGACTCACCGCCCCTCTCCTCAGTAGAGCCACCAAGCCTTCGACGAGCAGCTCCCCAGCCTGCCCTCCTGGCCAAGCCAGAGGCCTTTACCGCGCGCTCTTGACTTAGGTTAAGTTATTAAAAACTTCGATTAGCAGGTAAATTTGAGAGATAGGGGACATAACAGTTTAATCTCCTGGTTAACTGGGGCTTATCTGAAAGCACATGGTTATTTAAGTTTCTGTTGAAAATAGTTGTTGCATGTTCTCAGACCCCTCCCCAGCTTGCTAGGAGCTGTCCAGTGAATGTGCTGCCGTCTTCAGTGATAAGGGATCTTGTAACACCGCCCAGAAGTCATTCTGAACAATAGATCTCATTATAGATAGAGATGGGGTAGGCAATGGAACACGTGTTCACTGGCCTCTGGAACATTCTTGGAATTCACCTGAGGATATTCTTTTTGCGCACTTATTTTCTTGACATTTCCTTCTTCCTCTTAAATGTGCTTTTTTCCCCCTTAAAAAGCCCATTTCTGGAGACCCCTGGGTAATTGTGTTAGTTACCAGGAGCCCAGTACTCCTCATGCTCAGTGTCATGCACAGACACTGTGGTACTTTCAGGTTTGGGTAAAAGTGGGCAAGTGACATCAAGGATGTCAGACAAAGCCCGCCAGATGCCCAGAGTTGTGAACCAGTTTCCCTAATTAGCCAGAGAACACCACTGGGTGTCTTGTCCTTACAGGAGAGGGAAGAAGAAAACAGAGCCTTCCTTGGCAGGGCCCAGGAGCTTTTATGGCATTTTACACCCCCTGGGTGCTGCACTCTCCAGGCCCTTCCTGGTTCTTGCTCTCTCTGCCTCCTGTGTGACGTCCTCTCTGCTTCCAGTGACGCGAGGTGCACTCCTGGGCTGTGACATGAGAATCGACAGTAGGACCACATCAGCCACAGCACGGCTTGTAAAACCTGCAGAGCAGAACCCGAATGCCATCACCCTCAGTGGATGGAACAGCTGGAGGTGTGGCCACGTTCTTTTACATACAACTCTTGAGGGAACTGCTCAGAAAGAACACAGTTCTGTACGGCTTATTCCAACACGTGTTAGTGACCCAGCTCACATCGGAGTTCATTATCTTTGTTCATTCCCGAGAAACCCCATTTCAGAGCCTCGCGGGATGTCTCCGTCATCCCCGACATGCCCCGGTCCTTGGCCGCAGTGTCCAGGGCTGGGATATGCCCATCTCCTGCTCCCTCGGCTCCTGCTGCACGGCTGATTCTGTGTGTTTGTGTGTTTGCAGGGAGTACTACGTCACCATGGTGAAATGGGCCACCAGCACCAAGGTCGCCGTGAACTGGTTGAGCCGGGCACAGAACGTGTCCATCCTCACCCTCTGCGACGCCACCACTGGGGTCTGCACAAAGGTACGTGGGCGGGAGCAAGAACTGAAGGCAGGAAGGTCGTCTTTGAGCCGTTTGGGTTTGATCACTACAGACAAACCACTGCTCAGCCAGCTGCTTGCTGGTCAGGGTGGCAACCTGCCTCTGGATCTCTGTTTTGGTGCCACCTTGTGGATGAATTAACAACTGCTACAAAACTCAGGGCTAATCCTTTCAGTGCCTCCCGCCGTAGGCCCTCCACAATTTGTAGATGTTTTTTCCCTTTATCCATGCCCACTGCTATTTCATCAAGGAGATTTCTCTTAATTTTCCATTTGACACTCAGAGACGGGAAGGGACTGCCCTAGGCCCCAGGATGTGGGTGGAGCCAGCCCTGCAAGCTGGATTGCTCCATTTTTGCCTCCACCTGACCCAAGCCAGTCGGCCATCTGGGCATGTCGGCCATGTTCCTAGGGGCCCTGGGTGGCTTAATGTGTAGTTAGAGGAGGCGAAGGTAGGGAAGACAAAATGAAAAGTGAAATGCACAGAGGGAGCAAAGAAAGAATGAAAACCTGGAGAAAGGCCTGGCAACCGTGCAAAGCGAGGGGGAGACCCACTCATTGCATCCAGGCCCCGCAGTGGCCCACTGTCCACCCTGTGGGCTCCATCTTCCACACTTCTAGGTCTAGCCACAAGAGGCACATCTCCTAGTGTTGGGTACAAAAGTCAACTAAAGCCAATTAAGAAATCCAGGCAGGTCTTTCAGACACTCTTTTTTGACTCTAAAATTTTATTTCCCGACTGAGGAGGGAAGGGGCTCGCAAAGCAGCTCTGTTGTGACTTGGCAGGCCCTGGGACAGTGGCCCTCATGGTGCTGCCTAAATATAGCTTTGAGGTGAGTTGCAGGGAGCTGTCATTGAGACTGAGGTGCTCAGGCGGGTCAGTGATCTGCCTTCTCTTTTAGTGTGATTTAGAGCAGATTCCAGATTATTCTGATGGGCTTGCTTGAGAGGAGAGAAGGAAAAAGTGGACACACAGCTAGAAAGCTGAGAATTGCCCATAATCTACGTCTTCTCTCACTTGTGCCCCTGATCTTGTGAGTGCCACCAGCAGAAACTCCATTGCCAATAGTCTGTGGATAACAGAACCCCCGCCCGCGGGTGGCAGGAGGGCAGATCAGCACCAGGGACAGCTCCGTGGCTCCTTGGGATGACGGGTGCTGAATGGCTACATGCTGGTGTTTGGGTTTTGATTTGTTTTGTCTTCCATTATGCATCTTTCTCCACGGTTCTGTGAGGGCTACTTTTCATATATCTTTTAACCCCTCTTAGTGTTGTGTTCTACCAGGAGTGTTGCTCAAAGTTGTGAACTGGACATTTGTCCACACACACCCCTGCACACACACACAACACATGAATTCCTAAAACAATGTAGCAGCTGAGGTTTGCCTTTTAATGAGCACATGCCTGGTCAGAGGTGACCATCTAATGGACATGTGTGTGGTCAGAACTGACCATCGAGTGATAAAAGTTTACTGTCTTCCAAAGGGTTCCTACTTGCCATGGATTTGTCCTCATTGCTGGGGAGAGTGACATTTGTCTTGTTTGGGGACATTTGTGTTCAGCTCTAAGCCATAATAAGAGACAAAGAGGAGAGCCGGGGATGGCCTCCTCGCTGAGCGGGCCACCGCGCTGTCTGTGCTTGTGCAGCTACCGCGTAGGGGAATCAAATTGTTTCTGCACTGTTAGTCATAGACACAATACACGCAAAAAATCCTTTCTCTAATGCTCTTATTTCATTTCAGAAACATGAGGATGAAAGTGAAGCCTGGCTCCACAGACAGGTAACTACCCCACATGCGAGTTCCCACATTCTCCGCCTGCACCAGCCACCAGACCCACCGCTGCATGGCTGTCAGAGCTTTTACAACAGCCGAACAGCTTCTCACGTTGAATCCTACGGGAATCCCCACGTAGGCATGTCGATGTGGGTGGGTCTGGTGAGTGGGCGGGCTTCTCTGCTGTCTGGCACTGCTGCCTTCTGTGGTCCCTGAGCACTGCTGGAGACTCGTGGAGCCCCAGGGGAGGTGGCTTGAGAATCACCACTCTGGAGCACGGGCAGTGTTTGGTGAGACTTCAGTTCTCAGTTAGATGATGTCCTTTCAGCGAATTAAAAATGATGTGTCCATAAAAGTTGCCTAGATATGACCCACTATAGTAAAAAAAGATGAAATGTGCCTGATACTGCTGTTTTTCTCAGCATGGTTTCATGGATGTTGCATTTGAAATAGACTCTGCTGTGGTTCAGTATGAACCTTTCTGGGGACCTGACTTTAGAACCATCCCTGGGTTTCCCATCCCTAACTCAGATAAGAAATGCATGGTAAACAGGCTCCAGGAACTTGAGATTAGAAGAGATCAGGAATGGTCTACAGTAACTCACTGTGTGACCAAAAAAAAAAATTAAACTTACACAAAAAATAAAACTCTCAGCACTGGTATTTTCTTTCTTCAATTCTTTTTGTGTCATTCCACACCCTGACATTAGAAAGAACAGGTGAGAAAGTTTTGAATTCTTACTTCCTTTTCATCCAGCCTAATGGGATGAAAATTGTCTGAAAATTCTGAGGGAAAAATCTCACCAGATTTGAGTCTCAAGAATTACGGTGAAGAGGGCGCAGGTGTGCTTCTTTATTGACACACTGGATTCCATTTATGGTAATTAACTGAAGCTGGACCATACAACTATCAACAATGACTCTCCAGGAACATTCTAGCAACTCTGATGGGCATGCACTTCTTTTATCTGTGGCACTAGCAATCTATCCCAGCCTTCCGTCAATTCTCTTGAGGTGGTAGCCTCATAAATGGATGCTATTCCTCTTAAATATGTCCTGGTTCTGTTCCGTGCCAGTCTTCTCCAAAAGGGAAAAGGCCCAAATGGCAGCATTTGTTTCCCTATGTGCAAGTTTGGGTGCTAAGTCCAAGCTAAGAAAATATCAAGAATGAGGAGTGCTTGGGAACCCTAAAATGTTAGCTGGGAAGTTATGCTGGGACTCTGCTGGAATTATGCTGGGGAGCTCTTAAATGATATAAGCACAAACATCAGAAGCAATGTTACAATGTTCCTCTTACATCAGATGAAATGCCAGAGAAATTGAAATGAAAGGACTGGAAAAAATATCCATACCTATGTAGTCATCTTTCGACTAATATTTATGGATCGTACCAGGTGCCATGCCAGGCTTTGTGGATTTCAGAAAAGAATCAGCTACTTCCACTGAGCATATGTCGTGCCATGTGTCAGAAGACTCTTCCTTTTTATGGCTGAATAATATTCCTAATATTCCACTATATGGATATACCACACTTTGTTCATCTGTTGATGGACGTTTGGTTTGTTTCCACCTTTTGGCAGTTATGAACAGTGCTGCTAAGTGAAAGGAGCCAGACACAAAAGGCCACCCATTGTACAATTCCATTTAAGTGAAATATCCAGAATAAATGAATTCACAGAAACAGAAAGCTGTTTGGTGGTTGTCAGGGGCTGGGGGGAGGGGAGAATGGGGAGTAACAGCTTACGGCTTACAGGGTTTTATTTGGGGTGATGGAAATCTTTTGGAACTAGATAGAGGTGATGGTTGCACAACATTGTGGATGCACTAAACGCCACTGAATTGTTCACTCTTATTAAAATGACTTATTTTGTGCTATGTGAACTTCACCTCAACTTTAAAAAAAATGAATCAGCTAGAGCGGCAGTTCTCAAAAATGTCAAATGTAGAAAGGGAGACGAGCGGTGCCCATGAATTCCAAAGTGTGGCAAATGAGAGTAATCCTAAAATATGTTCAGAAAACGTGTTTGGCCCTTGGCGGGGCTGGGAAGAGAGAAAACGGTGTGGGATGCGGAGGCAGCTGGGCCGGGACTGGACATTACTTCGTGTGCAGAGTTTGTATTGAGTAGGAGGAGGTGAGGGTCAAGCTTCTCAAAGCAGCCCAGCAGCTGGTTTCTTTGGGGGCTGGCGGGGGCAGCTGGAAAGCCAGGGTCGGAGGGATCTGCTCCACTTCCCTGTCCTCGCCATCAGGGGCGCGCACACGGGAGCCGGCACCCTGGCTGCTGGTGGGTGGTTTGGAAGCCGTGGAGCTGGCCCCCTTTGCACACGTCTCTGCAGAGGAGCCACAGAGGCACGATCATTGCCAAGATTTTCCTGTATTTACTGACCAACCACGTGAGAACACCAGCCACATGCTGGACAGACAGCATGCCCATGATTTGGGAAACCAGATCTTTCTAAGCAAAATCAAGTCAGCACTTAAATAGTAGCATAACGTAAAACTGTAATTCTTACACTTTAAAAGTGTAAACTTTAAAGCATTTACTAAGCAAACAGCTAACATTTAAAACAACCATTGAAAAATGAGTAACGCCGTCTGGAGTTGAAGACGTCACGTCCTATAAGAGAACTGATTTCTCCAAGATGGTGCTCTCCCTGGTCAGGTCCAGCTACCAGCCCCAGTTCCCAGCCACCCCCACTAGGCGGGTGCAATCCCACCGAGGGAGGCCGGGGAGGCCCACTCAGCATGGGCCTCTAGCTCCTGATTCCTTCAGAGCGCCGTGGTCAGCAGGAAACTCCAATGTCAACAGTTTCTCATGACATTCCTTTTGAAGAGATTTTTCATAAAGGAATTCGTGGACCCTGTTTTTCAAAAATAATCTGTAGTGTCTCCGCATCCTTCAAGATACCATGAGGTCCGGGAGCACAAGTTAGCAACTTCTTTAAGGCTGACCCCCCGTCTGCTGCCGGTGAAGCTGCTGTGCCGCTGCAGGCTGATCCATCTCAGACGGCTCACAGATGCTCCCCCCAGCTGCCCAGGGCACAGTGTGGTTTGAGGAGAAGACTGGAGTCTGGAAAATCCTACCAAGCTCAGGGAGACCTAGTCCGCTTAGATCAATCACTCTTCTGAATGCTTGTCGCCAGGGAGGAGGTGAGCTGGAGCAATCCTGGGGCTGTGCATCTGAGCCCCCATCTCCTCATCTTTTCTTCCCATCTCCTTCTGAGGCCTCAGTAAGGATCCCCACAGGGACTCCCTGAGCCAACAAGAAGAGGCAACGTGTATGTGAGCGGAGACTCACCAAGTTCCCTCTCCTCTAGGAATATTCCATAAATAGGTAGTCCCTCCCACCAAACACATTCCCCATCACTGCTGCCTGTGACCTTGCAAAGTCAGTGCTGATGCAAATCTACTAGGGATCCTGCACCAGGACCACCGGCGTTTGGTGCAGAACCCCGGAACCTGTCACTGTGGTTGAAGAGTCGGTCCTAGAGGTCTATTGCTGACCACCCGTCTTCTTTAACCAGGATTTTGGTTTTGTGATTTCAACATTGGGGCGGGGAGATTGGACAAGATGAATGCATCTGAACCATGGAAAGAACTGGCAGAAATGCTACAAATAACTCACGAGGAATCTCTCACTAGTAAAAAGGACTCCTTCGTCACGAATCTGCTCTGAATGGGGGTGGGGAAACCAGGCATCGTATGTGGTAAATTCCCTGTAGCCAGAGAGACTGGAAACCCTCCCTCCAAATCCACGAGAGTCAGAACCAGGATTAAAATCTAGGTCTCCTACTCAAAAATCATTGCACTTTTTCACTAAAAATACATCGATTACACGAGAAACCCAGTCTGAGAGAGACTCAAAGGCTGGTGCTCTGCCTGCCTACCATGAAGTGTTCCACGGATCAATGTAACGATGACATGAAGACGATCGAGGGCTTTTCAGTATAAAAACAATGCTTCTGGCCAGAATTAATTATTTATCACATTTATTCAGAGTATTTTTATCTGGCAAAAGCGCAAACATTTCCCCAGAAAATCGAGGCAACATTGCAGTGTCTGTCCTGCAGTTGGCAAATAGAAGTGCACTTAGAAAGCCAAATTTACTGCTGGTTTTTCCATTTCCTCTACATTTAAATACCATGCTTCCAACTCTAAATAGAAAAATAAATATTTGCAGATTAAAGGTTTCATTTTATTGCAAATATTCATGAAGATTAAATGTCATTTTAATCACGTTAGTTTATTTCTCTGGGCATACCATATTTGCATGTCCTCATTCACGGCAGGGAAAATGAGTTTTCCTTGTGCCAGCTGGGGTTTATTTACCATTTGTTCTCATCCCGCCTTAGCGTGGAGCTCCTTGAATCAGAAAATGTGTATCGGAGCCAACTAATTGGTGTTCGCGGATGGAAACTTTCAAACTGGAGCTGCAGAGCGCCTGAGATGCCTCCGTAGCAAAACCCCTTTTCGCCCTTCAAGGCGACAACCAACCCGCAGGGGGCTGGCGGGGGCTGAGCAGGGGCGGCTCAGCCCTGGGGGAGCCTGGCCGCACACGTCAGCCTTGGCTTTGAATCCAACCTGGAATTCCTTCCTCCGGGGAAAAGTGGGAATGTGGATTTTGTTTCCAGGGAAAAGCGACAGTAGATCGAGCAGACACGCGCCATCTGGAGAATGCCCGAGTGGAACTTTCCTCTAGTTAGAAGCCATGCAATGAGCACAGTGAGTCCCAGGAGGACTGTTTTTGCTCACCTACATTTCAGAATGTATAAAATCTGTCCTTGCTGGCTGTTTCTTTCTCTCTTTTTCATGTCTTCCTGGTGGGCTATTCAGTGTGAGCTGGATTCTGTTCAATAACAGAACAAAAGCTAGGATTGACAGAATAGAATTCATTTTTAGGTAAAATTGGGTTTCTGATTGTTTAGACTTATGTTCTTTATGATATATAATAAATGCCCCTGGAGAAATCTCGCAACCCGCCCTGGTTTCAAGGGGCCACAATTAAGGGGAAGCCCGGCACTGAGCTCTCTGAGGGCTGGTCCTGCTCTGTCTGCGGAGCGTGGGGCACGCACAGGCCTGTTCTTTCCGCTGGTGCTTTGTGAAATGAGGGGAGCCTTTTCATCTGCCTCTGCTTAGGCCGCCGCCTCTGAATTCTTCATTATTCCTCTTTGAAAACTAAAGATTTGACTCCTGGTTCCCAAGGAAAGAAAAGACCCCACACAGCGTTGATTCTCTCAACCACATCTCTCGTTAGAAATTACATAGAAAATGGATCTCAAAATGTAATCTATCTTGGTTCAACCTCTTCAACACAAAAGGAAGCTTTTTATAGACTTCATCAACTGCTTCCATCCGCAGAATGAAGAACCAGTGTTCTCCCAGGACGGCCGGAAGTTCTTCTTCGTCAGAGCAATCCCGCAGGGAGGCCAAGGGAAATTTTATCACATCACCGTGTCTTCGTCCCAGGTAAATCCTGCTGGTTTCCGAAACGGTTTTGCTGTGTTGGGCACGGCCCCTAGTGGCTGAGCGCTCTGCATGCACTTGTCACCCTCAAGGTCCCCAGAGCAAACCCTGGAAGGTAGGCTCCCCAAGGCGGGCAGAATGGGGCGCTCATAAAGTCCAGAGGTTCTGATCAGGGCAGCGGGTCGCATTCGCCCTTTCTACTATCTCTCAAAAATACAAATGACACCTCTGACGACATCAGAGGAAACCGGCGTTTGGGTACGAGCCGAGGACCGTGTCGCCTACTTTGTATGATGATCCTGTGCTCACCAGCCTTTCCCCCCCACCTGCTGGGGTGACCCCATACACTCTCGCCTCGAGGCAGGGGCCCAGTGCACTGGTGGCTCCCATGGTCCAGCCTCCCAAGGCATCCCACCTCCACTTTTAGCCAAATGCAGGTATTAGCCTGTCATGGTGTTGCTACCAACTGTCACTGACCTGATCCTGGGTCTGATGGGTTAAGAGCAGAACATCACTGAGCGGGGAATTTCAGAGCTCACTGTTTACGAATTTGGACCCAAAAGCAGACAGCCTGGTGAATGCTGTCTCCTGCGAAGCTGTCACCCAAGGGAACCTGCCCACCTGCTCGAGAGATGCTGCCCCAGCACCAGACTTTCAGGGAACTCTGCCCTTAGGAAGAAGGTGGAGAGGGGTGTGGCATTTCCACGATCACGACCCTCATCCTCGGTGTGTAGATTCCATGTTTGAAGGCAGACTGAAGATATTTGGGATCAGGGCAGGTGAATAAAATTTGGTTTTAAAAAAGTTATCAAAAATATTCTCTGGATATTGTGCTGGCCCCAGTGGCCTGGTGGTTAAGTTCAGTGCACTCCACTTCGGCAGCCCCATTCAGTTCCGGGGCACAGACCTACACCACTTGTCTGTCAGTGGCCATGCTGTGGCCGCAGCTCACATACAAAAAGAGGAAGATTGGCAATGGATGTTAGCTCAGGTGAATGTTCCTCAGCAAAAAAAAAAACAAACGAAAAAAAGCCTATTATAAAAAAATATTTTGTGGATATAAAGTAGAAGGCTCATATTTATGATATAGCCCAAAATGCAATTTCAAAAGAAAAATTCCAAGAATGTCCCACGTAAGATCATCTTCAATGAACAGGAGCAGAGGCTGGGCTGTGACTCCATGGTGGGATCATGTTTACTCAGAGGCTTAGACACAGACATTGTAGTTGTCTACCCATTAATTGACTTATGGACAGTCTGCAGACTGGCTCCCGTTCATCTGTTTATCCCTGTGGTCTTCAGGCTATGGCCCCAATTCCTATGCTTTCTCATTTTGGACCACTTTAATCAAGATTTAAAGATGTTTTGATCTTTTCACTCAGCCCCATCTCTGAATTCATCCATGTGACCAGCATTTGCTGAGTACCTATGAAACATTCCAGCAGGAAGCAGGTCTCCCACCCGCCACTCAGGAGGGCACCCACTCCCCAGGAGACCCTCGGGTCCCCACTGCCTTCCAGAACCCCCTGCTCTCCACAGGATCTCCCTTGTCTGGAGACTTCCATTTCTGTGGTCCCCAAGTCCCCACTGTTTGCCTTGGACCCTTCACCCAATTTAATCACCATTTGATTAGCACCTGCCTCCCAGGCACCTGCCTCCCATGGCACCTACCTCCTGGGCTCCTGCCTCCCAGGGCACCTGCCTCCCGGGCTCCTGCCTCCCATAGCACCTGCCTCCCGTGCTCCTGCCTCCCGGGCACCTGCCTCCCGGGCTCCTGCCTCCCATGGCACCTACCTCCTGGGCTCCTGCCTCCCACAGCACCTGCCTCCCGGGCTCCTGCCTCCCACGGCACCTGCCTCCCAGGGCGCCTGCCTCCCACGGCACCTGCCTCCCAGGGCGCCTGCCTCCCAGGCTCCTGCTTCCCGGGCACCTGCCATCCAGAACAGCCAGCCTGTGGCTCGCACCTCGGCACTCCCACACCCCATTTCAAATCGTCGTTCCTGTCGAGGCAGTCATGTCTTTCCTTCTCTTATGACTTATTGTCCTAATTACTCTGCTCTGGGAGGCACTTCGGGACAGACAGTGTGTGTGCAATGTGCAGCACTCAATAAAAGGGTTTTAAACCATCCTTGTAAATGATGGCAGAGAATGACAGAAGAGCCGGAATCTTTCCTTCCTTCCTTCATTTTTTCTCTATATATCCTTGCCCTGTTTCATCTGCCTCCCCATGTTTCTCTCTTGCCTCCCTCCTTGTCCTCCTATGGTAATGACTCTACTGATTAGATTTACGAATTGTAAGGGAGCAACGTCAGCAGCCATGAAGCGTTGGTGCTTCCTTCTGACACGTGTGTGGTGGTGGGAGGAACTGGCGACCGAGTTCTAGTTGATAAGTGCCACAGACATGAACTACGTGATTCTCTCCATTGCTCAAAGTCAGAGAAGGGAAGAGGGCTGTGGCCTGAGGGTGGTCAGCCGAGGCCGCGTGGAAGGGGCTGGATCTCAGCCAGCCTCGGAGGAGAGGACTAGGCGGGGTGAGGCAGACGGCACCCCCCACCCCGAGAGGCTGGCTGCCTCCTATCTGAGGGGCTCTGGGGTTCAGAAGCAAAGCCTGGGTCCAGCTCTCTCGCTCCTCCGTATCTTGTCTGTGTGTTCCAGCCCAACAGCAGCAATGACAACATACAGTCCATCACCTCTGGGGACTGGGACGTGACCAAGATCCTGTCCTACGATGAGAAGCGGAATAAGATGTAAGTGAGAATCAGGCCATGTGGCCAGGCTGCTTACAACCCCAGGGCTCGTTTTACTGCTGACTGGGACACATTAATTATTTTTCAGTCAGATCACACTCACCGAGCACAAATTATGGCACAAGGGGCCTCATCTTTCCTTCTTAGACAGCATCTCAAGGTCCTAGTTTCTTCATGAAAATATGTCGTAGATTCCATCTGAGAGCCCCCCTTCCAAGGTCACAGGATGGTCATGATGAGGTTGAGCTTGTAACCAGGCCTGTGGGTGACACAGTGGCCACAACAGTGGTGTACTGTTTTCTGTTGAGTCTCTCCTCATTCCAGGCACCATGCGAAGTTCATTATGAGCGTTATCTCATTCAACACAACAGTTCCAGGAGCTGGTTTATTGCTTTCCCCGTTTTAAAAATAAGTAAGCTAAGACAAAACAAAGCCAACTAATTTACTCCAGGTTGTTCAGTCAGTGACATGTGGAGCTAGGACTCAACCCAGGACATTGGGAGTCCAGGCCCAGATGCTCTTCATCCTCCCTTGTCATGCGATGAAAGCCAAGGCTTCCACCTCTGGGGTCCTAGGTGAAAATCAGCCGACAAGAGTCACTGATGCAGGCTCTATGTCTGGACTGTAGTAAGCATTCTCAGGCCCTTGCCCTCCAGGAGGTCAATAACCTTGTAAGGAAATTCCCTTGTCCAGATCCAGGTGTACACCACCATCCCCACCCCGACAGCAGAGCCCTACAGGCTGTTACAGGAGATGCCTCAGGCCGGCAGGGGTCTGCATTGGCGTGTCCCTCAGCCCATGGGTGTGTGGCTGCCCCCAGCCCTACTTGCTCATGTAGCTGGACCTGAGCGGGAGAATTGCTCGCTCTAGGTCACTGAACGATGAAAGTCTCTAAGAAGTGTCTGAGCAGGCAGAGGCTGGTATGTGACATACAAACCTGCCTGAAGCCAACTAACTTCTGTGCGCCTGCTGGTCTTTGCAGCTACTTCCTCAGCACGGAAGACCTGCCGAGGAGACGCCAGCTCTACAGGTAGGTGCCCCCTGCCCCTGCTCACGGCGGCTCCCCCGGGGAGGGCCACAGGGCTTGGCAGAACTGCGCCTCTGAGCGGTACCTTAGGAGGCAGCACAGAAGAACCCCCACCACAGATGAGTAGCTATAAAGTCTGAAGAGAAATAACAAAAAATGCGGAAGCCACCAAATTTGAAGCTTGATAGTATTTTTCTTCTTTTGTCAAGTTGAGTATTCCTCCCCACTTATTTTCTCCTCCTATAACTGGGGGACTTGTAAACTGTCTTTCCTTTCCACCGTTATTCAAAGATTGACTTGGAGGGGTTATTCTCAGCTGGGCTGTTATAGGAGGGAAAGCCTGGTTCGGGACTTTGCCAGTGGACTGGGGGCTGGAGGCCAGTTCAACTGTCTCTGTGTCACGGCTAACTTGCTGTGGGATGTTGGTCAATTTCATAATCTCAAAGAAAGCAGAGGAAGGGTGACCTCTGAATCTTGGGAGAAGGACAAGGTGTTTTCCGGAATCTGTCCCTCTTTAGCATAAATTCTGTCAACTGCTCCGGTTACTATTCTCATCAGAGAAAGTTTTGGTTCTGAAGTGGGATTCGTCCTGAGAACTTTCCTCCGGCATAGTGGAGGTCAAAATGGGGTGGTCTGTGACCTCCTCAAGGTTTTCCAGACTAGAAGGAGGGTAACAACTGGCTACTGTCTCCATGCACGTAGGCCACTTCAGAAGACACCGTTCCATGTAGACCTAAGGGCTTGAGCTGGGTGACTTGTAGTCTGGGATGAGCCTCTTTCCCCCTACCCTCGCCACTGGGACATTGGAGAAGGCCCATCAGGTGGATGACCATCTCTTGCCACCCTCAATTGGTCCATATGCCCAGAGCATAATGACCAACATAAGGGGTCCTTTTGGAAGTGAGGAAAACCCCGGCAAATCCACATGGTCACAGACTTCCTTGTCTCTGTAGACTTCTCACCGCTGCACATCTACCAGGACAACTATATCACTCCTGTCACCAAATTCATAGAAGGTGATCAAGCAGACTGCTGTAGACTACCTACCCTTTCCTCTAACATATGCGATTAGAAGGCTGTCTTCTCTCTCCCATGAAATATCCTCACTCTTGTAGACGGGTTTCCTACTGGAAACTATGGTTAGTGTGGACCCTTCCCACGGAAAATGCTCAGACGAGAGCTTCTTCCAGGTATACTCAAAGATACCCCTCAGTATCTTTCAACTTCTGGAAACACATTTTAGGCCTTCTTAGCATGAAATTGTACTTAGAGTGGCCCCAGGTAACATCTTCGAATCGATTCCCACTCTTCTGGCTCCATTGAGTGAGAAGTGATGTCTCACCATTTCACTCTGTCGAGAGAACTGGGTTTAGAAACAGCCAGAACTCAATTCAGCCCATGTTTCTGGAGTCCTGCCTTGTCATTCACCGGTGTTAGGTCCTCTGAGAGAGTTCAAAACATGTCTGCTGTTCTCAAAATGCTGATCATTTCCTCAGAGATGAGAGGCATGGGTATAAAGTACTAGGTAATGGTACCAAACGCTGTCCTCCCCTCACGTCAGGGACGTGCACAGGGCCTGAACAAAGCGTGGATGACCAGGTACGCACTCCATAAAGCGAGAGCACTGAGAGCTCTTACACGTCGGAGGGATCTACCTGCCAGGGAAGGCTTCGTGGCCCGTAAAACCAGAGCCCGTGTTCAGGGGCATTCCAGCAGGGAGACAAAAGGAGAAAGGCCCAGCGGTGAGCGTCAGGGGCTCCAGAACACGTTTGGTAGGAGAGAAATCAGTCAGCTGGAAGTACGGAGCTGGGGGATCTGGGTCTTGACCACTGTCACTGTTTCCTCCCTGCCTCGGTTCACGCCCTGCTGTCCTTGTCCCTCCAGTGCCAGCACCGTGGGCAACTTCAACAGGCAGTGCCTGTCCTGCGACCTGGTGGACAACTGCACCTACTTCAGTGCCTCCTTCAGCCACAGCATGGACTTCTTCCTGCTCAAGTGCGAAGGTAAGTTCCTGCCAGCGTTTCAGACCTGCTCCTAAATCCATGCTGAGACCCGCGGGCAGGCACACTCACGGGACGCGGAGGCAGCTGCCGTGGGAGCCTGTTCCGGAACAGGTGAGGATCCCGCCCACCCCATGATGTTTGCTGATGGGAGCAGGGATACTGGCTCACCTCTCGGTCTGCTGCCCTGCCGATATTTTACGTTTTATGAAGGTTTACAGCTTATCAGAGCTTTCTACACACTGTGCCAGTTAATCCCAAAGTTCATCTACATTTTCCACCAAAAAAAGTCCTGTGAGGTAGTTGTGGTAAGTATCTTACACAATGATGAAACCAGGCCACCTAGAAAGATAATAAAACAATTTCAAAGGTCAACTTCTTTAGCATAAGGATTGAGATTATATGAAAGAAGTCTCAGACAGGGGGAAAAAATTATTTTCCTATGACCCGATTTGTGGATAATTTATCCCAAACTTCAGAAAGTTCTTGATCATACCAATCAGCATACACAAAACAGCATGCCATGTCTCATTGTGTATACAAGGAAATATCTTTGCATCCTGTCCTCATATCTTGGAAACATAAGATATGAACTCATGAAAAGGTAGGTAATAATAAATATGGTCATAACAAAATTCACCTCAGAGAAGAGCTAGTGAGTTCACCTTAAAGAGTGAAAATACGCTGCGGGTGACAGACAGAGCAATTCAGTCCTGCGAGTCACAGATGGAGAATGAAGAATTGTTATGAGAACGATGTCTTTGATAGCCTTTGCCAGCTACTCCACAGTACATGACCTCATCCTCTTTTTATCAGTGTCATCATCTAAAATCTTGAAAAGCCACAGAATGGGAGGACTCAGTCCCTTGATCACCACAAGCTCAGCCCCAGGCATTCTTCCAAGATGATGGGGAGACACAAGGAGGAGCTTCTGAAATGCAAGATTAGCCCCCAACTCCCCTCAAAGTTTCTCTTACCAAACTCCTCTTTCCTGTGCTTCCCAGGAAGCAGACCACTGAGCATCCAAAGTCACAGGGTGCTATAGGAGGAAAGAACCTAAGAGCCTATCCACCCACTTCATTTATCAGAAGCCAAACCTGCTGCTGGAAGTTAGGTGGATTCCTTGACTCCTGCTGAGTCAATGATGCACAGAGGACCAGCATCAAGTCTCCTGGCTCCCAGGCCAGTGAGACCCATCGGACCATGGCAGGATCTTCATGAAATTACAACCTGGAAAAGTGTAGAGATTTATAGGGCATAGAGACTGGGAAAATGTGGCAAGCAGACACATTAGGAGCCAGAGACAACAGTGACAGGAGCTACATAATCAGAGATCTGAAATCTTTTCTATAGAAGTAGGAAGTGACTTTAAAACACAGAAGGTCATGATAAGATACAGAAGGGAAATATTGAAGTTCATTTAAAGAAGAACATCACACACAAGAATGGTTGATTGAGAAAGGTGATAGAACCGCCATCACGGAAGATCTTTAAAAGAAGGCAGGTACCACTTGCCAGAAATGGGCTCAAATATAAGGCAGAGAGTGAGCTGGAGGGCCTTCAAGATCTGTGGTTTTAACTGGTCCAGGCAGTGACAATTTGGATTTCTAGTTCTGGAGTTCTCCCTGACTCTCTGTAATATTCGCTCCCTGCACTGGTCCCTCACAGAACCTAGCATCTTATTTGCTGACAGTTCCTTTCTCTGCCTCCCTTTGGAGGTCAGAAGCTCCCTGCTAAGTTATGCGGGATCTTCTCAAACCACAGTGTAGTCTGGATGACCTCATTCTAACAACTGGCAGCCTTTTGTTGTTCGGTTTCCACAGAGCACCAGCCCTGGGATGAAATCGAACAGGCTCCCCCAGGAGACCTACGCCCTGGATTCAGGCAAGGATGTTCCCGCATCCCGTATGATGGACGTGAAAATGGCAGCCGCCTTGGGGGGCCATTTGGACAGTGTGTTTTGAGATCACTGAACAGTTGTTCTTGTGCAAATTTCCAGTCTGCCTGCTAGCACTCCATCCTTAAGGAGGGAATAGCATTTCATTTTACATTTATGTCCTTGCCAGTTGGGGACGTTTTCTTTTGCTAAGGCTGCTTGTATTGTGGTCTTCGAATGTTTAGTGTGAAGAGATGGCTCCTCAGCGTCACTGTGGAGGGAAACAGAGGCAAAGAACAAGTACAACCCCACTAGGTCAGACACACGGCCAACTCCGGCCACTGAGACCAGCATGATCCCAGCTTCAGAAGGGATGCGGTGTCCTGCCCCACAAATGCCTGGATCACCACCAGTAATCAATAGGAATACATCTCAGAGATCATCTAATCTAATCTGCAACCTCTGCTCCATTTTATTAAGAAACTGAAGTCTTAATTGATCATGGAGTTGTCACCCCCAGATTTTCTGAGTCATTTAAAATCTATTTAAATATTTAGCCTGTTGCCTCCTCTTAAGATAAGCGTAAACTAGCCCTCTTCTCGAAAAAATTACTCTTTAAAAATTTTTCTAAAATAACCAGTTTTCTGGCTAAAGAAACATAAATGCCCAAATTAACCTCTCCTCCAAAACCTAATCAAAACCTTGTTTTTAAAAAGGGATTTTCTAAGAAGACCTAAATTTACAAAGACAACAAAATGGATGCGGCAACAGCAGCAGCCCGCTTTAGGGGCGTGGACACCGTTGGGGGAGATAACTGAGTCAGCGGAGCCTCAGAGCGGAAGGCCTCTCCTGCAGCAAGCACCCTGAGGAGCCCCCAGTCTCCCCCTCAGGGCTTGGGGATGATGCCTAAGGGATGAAAAGAGCGATGGTTTTGAAATTTCAAAAGAGAAGTGATTACGCCCCCTTTGATTGCGTGGGACTTCGTGTTGGGGAAGAGGAATCGAGAAAAGCTCCACAGATGAGGTAGCATTTCAAATAAATGGGGAGGTAGGATTTAGAATGTGGAAAGCAGTCCAGAGGAGAAGGCGCAGCATGAGAACGAGCACAAGGAACATTCTAAGATAACGTGGAGGAATTCTGCTGCAGCCTGTCAACCACAACCAATCTAGCGGATACGTGCGTTTAAGAAGTCCAATGTAACAACCCAAAATAATTTTAAATAATTTCACTTTTCTGCACATTTCTCAGTAGACGGTAAAGTAGACTCGAATGTGTAGCCCACAGCAGCATTTATTAAACCTCCTCTCCTCTTTATTTCTTCCACACCCCAAAGCTACTCAGAGAGACTCTTGGAAGCCTTTGACCAAAATGACTTCTCCACCCCCAGCCTTAGAGACTTTCCGCCGCCCCTGCTCCTGCAGCACTTTATTATGGAGATAACTTAGCCTCTCAGATGCAACCAGAACAAAAAAAATCTTTCCATTTTAGGCTGAGGGAAAATGTAATGGCAATTAGAGGATTCTCTTTGGTGAATTAAGGAAAGGGAATCGTGAATGCTCCCATATTCAAAAGTGTTCAGCCCATCGCACAGAGAACTACAAATGGTTCGGTTTGGGCACAGGCAATTATAGTCAAAGGATTTAATAACTAGGGCAAGGTGGACACCAACCAGCTAAGATAGGCACCCAGTCAGAGCAGACGCAAATGTCACACCACGTTAGTTCCTGAGGGTGGGGCATCGTCTCGGCAGCTATCGCATCATGAAATTGCCACAGCCCCAGATAAACACAGTCATTCTTCTGATTTTCTGTGGATCTTCATTATGATAGTTTTTGGTAAACTTATCTAATATGGACCCGTCCCCTTAACTTACATTGCAGTGCTCAGCGTTGTGACTTCATCAGAGCTGATTGTTGCTCCTCAGTGGTTTGTGATCAGTGCTTCTATTTAATTAGTGCTTTGGCGTGTTGTTCTAATCTCCAGGCATTCTTGCCCAGTATATTTTGTCCATCTTCATCCTTGGAAAGTGTTTTTAGTCTTATTGTCCTGTGCTTTCTCCTCTAATTTTTCATTGACATTTCTTCTGTGGTTTCACAAAGCTTGCCATTTCTATATTTCCTTATAATTCTTAATTTTCATTAAGTATGTAATAACTTAAAATGCATAAATTATTTTTATGCCTTTGTACTTAGTTACATTAAAGGTAGATTAATATAGGTAAGTAAAGACTGAGAGGTGTTGGTAATGCTCAGTCCTCTCATTACCTAGCTGGATTTCATCTCTCTGTGTCAATATTTAATCTGAAAGGCATGGGTTTCAGAGCATCACAGAGTCCTCGCATGAGGGACACCAGTGGACCACATTCAGTAGAGACTTGTGGAAATGCACCTATTCATTTAAGACAGAGAGGGTTAGATTTCTTTCCAGATCTCCAGGGTCTGGCAATGAAGCCGCTGCATCCAAAATATTGTATCATGATGGAAGATTTTTTCATGATTTTTCAGGATATACCAATAAGCTTTTGGTTTACACACTTAGTTGGTCTTCTCATTGACCCTGTAAAAGGGATAATAATATAAATACCTAATATTTGTCCAGCTGTTTATAATTTGAAGAATAAATTACTTATATAATGTTTGATGTTTATATTCCCGTTTCTGATTCCTTGCAATTTATACTCTAGCAACAAATAAATCTGCTTAGAGTTCCCTGCCCAGAATGCACTATTTCACATTTGCACTTGTTGGTCTTTCACTGCCTGATGAACTCCCGGACATTCTCCAAAGCTTTTTTCAGGCAAAGGCTGGCTTCCCTCCCCTTGCAGGAGGGAGGAACCGGCAGTGGTGAGCCTGCCCAGGCAGCGTGGACATGGCGGCGGGTTTACCCTCAGACCGATGTCTCTGATGGGAACTTGATTCCTCAGCTGTCCAGGGACGCCCAGGTCAGAAGCCTGGCCACCTCACCCACAGAGCCGAGACACACACCTTCGAGTTTCCAAAAAACCCAGTCTCATCTTTAAAGAAAAAAGTACTCACCTTCTGTATTAATCTCCTGGAGCTGCCATAACTAATTACCACAGCTGAGGGGCTTAAAGCAACAGAAATGTATTCTTGCACAGTTCTGGAAG